CGGGCGCCGAGAGCCGCGTGGTGCTTCTGCAGGCCGTGCCCGGGAACGGGCAGCGCGGGCGGCCTAGCGCGGTGACCGGGCAGCAGCGTGAGGGTAACGGGAGCGCTGCAGAGTCGGCTTCCAGGGAGCAAGTACCAGAAGCAGAACAGCAAAGAGGGGAGATGATTTTTGCATTTCTTTCTGCCACATGGCAGTGCCTTTCTGGGTGCAGTAGCTGGACCCAGAGCCTGCTAACACCAACTGAGAAGTAGCTATGGAAAATCAAGCCAGATTTACCTTTTTCCCTCCTGTGCAAAGAACACACACAAAATAAATGAGGAGATTTACAAGAAGGCCTCAAAGCACATTAAAACAGACCAAAGCCTGAGAACATATCCATCTTGATCCATCTTGATCCATCATTACAACCAGTAAGCAGGTAGATGGAAAGGCAAAGCATTTGATGAGTCCCTGACCTTCCCCATGTCTTTTTTTCCACCCCTCAGGTGGGACACTGTCTCAGTTGGCTTCCTTCTCGCCTGTAGACCCTGTTAAATCAAATTAATCACCCATATGCCCTCAGAACCACTTGGATTCAGGGGTGGATGTATACACAGGATGCCCACATAGGGTCCCCACATAGGATAACCAGATGCTGCACAAGAGAGCACATGAGGGAGCTGGTCATGGCCTTTGCTAGAGCACAAGTGGCTTTGGCAGCTGCCTGATTCCTAGCCCAGACCTGTATCCTTCCAAGTCCTACCTTGTGATGGAGACCTTCAGCCTCTCTGATCCCACACACCTAAAATTAGCACTTGAAATAAGATAAGTAGTCCTGGGCATGAAATATTCACACAAACTCAGATATTTCCCCTAAATAATTTCTCCAAGTAGAGGTGCAGATGACTTACTGGAACCATGTCCACTCCGGAGAGCCCAGGGAGGACCCACTGTGTGCACCACGCTGAGTCCAGCAGTTGCCTGGGTCTCCCTCGCGGCTCGAACCTTAGAAGGATCAGTCTAAAACATTCCTCAGCAAAGTGGTTTTGGTCTCTTCTTCAAAGTCTCTGGTCTCTGAGGCAGTCTGCCTTGGAGGAGCTGCTCTTACCACCAGAAGCTTTCCGTAATTTAATGTTCACCTGCAGTGAACATGAAAAAAAATTCATTTCCTCTATTGTTGCAGGCACTCTTAAAGTTATCTTTAAACAGTCATCAAGTCCTAGTCTTTTCTTCTCTGTATTATATTGATGATTATTTTTAGACCTTTGATTCTTGTTACTCCCCTCTAGACTTCAGCTGATCTGATTCCTTGAACTGACCTGAAACCTTGCTGAGCAAATAAGGGGGGAGGACAAATTTGTGTATTTGCAGACAGCACTCTTGTTCAGGTATCAGAATATGAAATTTAGTCTTCCCTTTCTTTTCTCTTTATCCAATAACACAATACTTTTTGGCTTGTACTCAGCGTGTGACTCATTATAGACCGAAATCTTTCTCTGCAGAGCAGCTGCCTACAGCATTATCTTTTACTGGCCCAGTGTTTTGTTTTTTTTTTTTCTCATGTTTTTTTCCTGGTGGTCCATGCCCAACTGCTTTTTCCAGATTGCTTTTCCAGTTTGTCAACATAACTCGAGTGCTCACGGTGTTGTCCATGTTTGTGCTGCCCCTCCCAGGTTGCTGTAATCTCCCAAGGTCTGTCGTGTCCCTGCATGCTCAAGCTGTTCCTAATAAGCTTCATCTAATGCTACTGAGCTCTGCTGTAATAGGCATGTGCTTCAGATGGGGATTAAAATTAGCAGGGAGAAAAGTGAGGGTTAATTGGTAGAAAGTTTGCTATTTCAAGGGAGACCTCCCCCTAGAAAATGTAGATGCAAATATAAGTCACTAAGGGCTGACTATGTGTTGTGTTTGGGTGTGAGCTCTGTGATAAAAGAAAGGAAGTCATATAGAGTTTGGTAGCATTACTTGTATCAACTGTTTTGTGTATTGATGCAGAGCTATGTGTATGCGCAAAAATATGCAGTTTGGGAGAGGAGAGCTAACCTGTTGCTCAAGGAAATCCAGACCTAATTATTCTCCTCTTAGCTCATGCTGTTCTGGATAGTTCAAAGGCTTTGTCTGATCTTGCATCCGCTCTGCTGACATGTAACGCCTCCGACTCGCAGCATGAATCAGGCATCATCTGCAAGTTCTTGTGCCCTTGGGGCTCCTGAGGGTTAGATCAGCCGTGGTGGCCTTTCTCCAAACATTGCTTACAACTAGCAGGGATGCATTCCTAGAGAACTGCAGTGAGGGCTTGTGTTTTTCCTGCATTTTTTTTTTCTTTTCTCTCTTGTTTGGGAGTATTTAGCTTCTCTTTTGGATAGCACCATGGCCAGCTCTGGGATTACCTGGAAGAAGAAGAATTTCCTTTCCTACAGTCTTCTGGCCCTAGTCCTTCTTCATCTTCCATAGCAATACAATGCTGCAGCATCACAACACCAGTACTTGCTGTGTCATCCAGAAAACCACACCAGTTTCTATCTTTATGTTGATCTGGATTTGGGTCTAGGCTTGTCCATCTTGGCACAGGCTCTCTGAATCCCTCTTCAAGGACTCTCATGGGTGCCAACTCTTTGTGCCCAGCTTACGCGTGCCCAAGGTGGCATTTAGACCACATGCACGCAGTCCTGTGAATGGTGCAAACTGGCTAGCAAGGAAAATCTTGCACTTTGCAGAGACTGCAATTCCAGTGCATCTAGAAATGAAGGCCATTTAGCGTTTCACTGCATGGCTGACAATCTAAAGCAACGGCATATACATCAAAACAATGAAATGGTAGAACAACTGGGACACAATTTTAAGTATGAAAGAAAAATGTACAAGCTGAGTTGTTCTGTGGAAGTGCCCAGTGTCTGAAAAAGATTCTTCTACAAACAAAATCACTTGGTATCTTTGGGTGGATTCATATCCATTTTCCCGGTTTCCCTAAACTGTTGTATTTTCCCTTCTCAGTGTTATGCTGTTGGCTCAGATCTTAGTTGACTCCATTTCCTCAAGATGCAGCTGGCCTTGAAGACAGAGCTGCTGTGGTTTTATTGATAGCAGAGTAAATGGTTTTATTATCCTTTAACTTTATTATCTTGAGTGGCTTTAGGGTATTCACTGGTGTAATTATCCCACTGTCTTCAAAGGTGCTATATATCAAATGTTGAAGCTTCATGGCCTGATTAAATGCTTTGATAAGGCTGGTGTTTAAAAACCTGGTAAAACATGTCTAATACACATGTTCAAGTCCTGTTGAAACAGCTGCTTTGATTTCAGATCCACAGAGATAGGGGCTCTGGGGTCCCCCGAAGAGTCCTGCTCAGGAGCTCGGGCTGCGAGACCCCTCAGTTCCAGGAGAAAGCATGGCTGTGAGGGCTGAATAATTGTTCAAGCTAATACGTGGGGTCTGAGCGTAGGAGCTGTGGAGACCAAGAGCTGCTGCAGGAAGGAAGCAGCTCAGTATGCTCCGGCCAGAGCTGTGAAGTGCCCTGATAAAGCTGAGATAGGTCCAACTTTTCATGGTTTATCCCAATGAAGTGGAATATTTTTATTATTAGGCATGCATATCATGTGGAAATCCTACCTTTGTCAGTTTAATGGAGGAGGCCAAATTCTGGCATGTGCTTTCCGTTCTTTGTTTTGGATTCTACTCCATAACACTATTGTGTACACGGAGGAACGTTTTTAGTTTGAGCTATTGGTTTTAAATGTACTGGTCTATTGCAAAAGGCAAATGGAAGAAGTGCAGCTTGCATTTAAAATACTCATCATCTATAATGATTTGCTGCAAGAATGCATCCATATTCATATTAATCTGTTTTATGCTTTGTTCAAAATGTAAATCCATGCCCAAAATCCCTGTGTGCTTCCCTGCAATAAGTGACAAACTCAAAGACACAAAGCAGGAAAAAAAAGTGTTTACAGTAATAGTCCAAAGTCCTTTTCTCAGCAATACTTTTAATTTCAAACAAGAATGTTACTCAGTCACCCACCAAATATACTTGGGACTTGAGCAAAAAAACAGTCTCTTGGGAAATTGTTTAGAAAGGAAGATAAAAAAGTATTTGGCATTTCTGTAACATTTTCCAGTATGGAAAATAATATTTTACGATATAGATTAAATGTCAAGTTGTTTCTGTGAAGTAAAAACATGCAGTTATTTGTAATTCACAGATAAGAAGAATGGTCCTTGTCCTTCATTCCTAAGGGAAGAGGAAGCAGAGCTAAGAGGAGAACAACTTCTGCCCAGCTCCCAGCTTTGTTTTTAAGCCACTATGTTTGTTTTTATAGTGACATTCCTGTAAGGCAAATAATTTCTCTACCAGCAGGTACATAAATATACTTTCAACACTGTACTTGAAATCCTTTGGCACAGTTTGTATTCACAAAAAGTTGATGATTGAGAGCCCAGGTCTCCCGCAGGACCAAAATGCTCAGCTATTTCACAGTGTAGAGGCACGGTGCAGTGAGCCAGGGAGAAGCGCTGTGACCGAGCAAGGAGACAGAGCCAGAGAAAGCGGGAATGTGTCAGGAGGCAAAGCCGCCAAGGTTTATGGGCAGGGATATTTGCAGTATCTTGGCCTGTCTTCGCGATAGCTTCCTGCTGGTCATACACGGCCTTCCAGCAACCATAGGCGGTATGGTTGTTACTGCGTTACACAAAACAGCATCGGTTTGTCAGGATCTCAGAGATTCCAAGAAAAGCTTCAGAGGCCTCTGAGAGAGCAGCAGAGCCGAGTGACAAACGTGTCCCCAGGGAGGCGACCTGAGTGCTCATTGAGATGGGCGCTCATGGCTCCTGAGCAGGGAAGCACAAATCAGGGCAGATCAGTGAGGCTGTGCACGGCGCGCGACGGTGGGAAGCCAGTGCTGTTTGTACTGGGCACAGGGCGCTCTTTGCTGCAGCTGCTGAGAAAACAGCTGTGGCAACCCCTGGCTTGGAGATGAGTCTTCTCCAGCCTGACCCTATGGAAAAGGTCCTCAAGGCACGGATTTGAACACTTCCTCCTGAAACGGGGCTGTGTACGTCGCTTACGCGGGGCTGCAGCAAGCACTGCTGAGTCTGCACGGAGCAGGCCAGCCTGGCTGCTGGCAGCTGTTTGCCCGCAGCAGGGCTGGGGTCTGCACGGACATTAAATGTGCTGGGTAGCACAAGTTTTTAGGGGAAATGATTCATTTTTGCTTCAGTGTGTTAGCTAATGCTATATGCTTTCATTTGTTCTTCACTCCCACAAGATAAAAATCTTCTTAAATTCTTTTGTTTGTATCCCCTCTTAGCATAAACTCATAATAACACTGGTATTTAGAAATCTTTTTTCTTTTTTTTTTTCTGAATTTGTTAGTGCTGTTTTTGCCAGCTAAGTACCTTTATAACAATCTATCCCATGTGATTTTAGCAGCTGATATCAAATTCATAAATAACAATGTTTTACAATCCTAGAGTCCGATTTCTTCTAAATTTCCAGGTAACTGATGTTGTTAAATCACTTGGGTAGTTCCAGTGGGCAGAAAGACACTGAGCTAGTCAAAATGCTGGCATTTTGGACATAGCACCTCATACATTTTTCACTAGGGCTAAAGCACATGAGGGGGACATCCTGAGAATATTGGGACAAAAGACATAGGGACACAGGCCCTGGAGACAGAGCTGGTTCTGTAATGGCGCCGTAAATGTGCTCTGTGGTTGTTGCTGCTCCTGTGTCTCTAGGCTTCCCCACCAGAGCAGCTGTGTTTTAGAGCTACAAACACCTGAACTGTCCCTGCTGCTAACAGGAGGCTCGAGGGCAGTACATTAATATTGTTATGACAAATAGATACTCCCCTACTGCCAGGCAGAGGCAGGTGAACGCCTGCCCTGCGGGAGCAGGATAAAGAACTTGCCATCTCTACAAGCCTGCTGCCAGCTCAGATCTCCTGTCAGTTAGAGAGCGGGAAAACGTGCAAGGTGTGGGACAGGCGCTCAGGATGCAGTTAGGAAGCCAACAGCAGTCCTGACAACCCCTCCCTGCAGCAGGGCCGGCAGCTCCTTCCAAAATCCAGTTGTTTAGACTGGCATAAAGTCATTCACAGGAGTGGTAGATACAGCTGTCATGCTCCCTCCTTCTTGTTGGAAATATTAGCATCTGGGTAGAAGATTTAAATAACATTTAAAAAGAACCTGGAGAACAATGCAGTTTTGAATGCATATTTTCTTAGGGGTGTTTTTGTAGGGTGGGGGCTAGCACTGCTATTTCCCCTTTTCCTATGAATCACTCCGGAGCTGAGACGTTCGGGTGTCTCACCAGTGCCTGAACCCCTCGTGGTGACCCTGTGGCAGGGGGCATGCATATGTCTGTAGCACTGATGAGCAGATTACGCGCAGAGAGGTTACTTTCTTTGGAAATGTGTGTGGAAACAGCCCAAGTTACATCAGCTTTCCAGTGGCGAAATCACTGACCATTTATACCTGTCCAGAAGTGATGCAGTTGGCAGCGCTCAGAGTGGTTTCCTTATGGGTTTTGTTTGTTTTGCTGTGAAACACCTGCCATGAACCTCTGAGTCCTTGGTATTATTGGCTTTTATCTCTTACCTGAGATAAAGGACAATGAGGCAGTTTGATCGGAAAGTCTGCGCCAGAACCGTGGCCAGCCGGGTCCACCCCTTTTTCCACCCACCGACTCGCAAGCCAAGTTCCAGGCTCCGCGGCTCAATACCGCCCTTGTCGCTCTCGCCTCTTCTGCAATTTGCAAATAGCCCCGTGACGTAGCAAGGGCTAATGCTGTTTGAACAGTCTCTTCAGTCAAGGATTTTCTAAAATAATCTGTCCAGAAATTAATGGGTCTACATGTGAGTCTGATGTAGAACAGTGCGGAGGGAATAGAAAATGCAGCCCGTAATGCCATGAAGTGAGGTTTCTCAGCAAACCTGGCCTGATGACCTGGCAGGGGGTTGCAGAGGCTGAAGAGGATGGGCTTTTCTTTCGCTCTGCAGGATGGACAGGCTAATGCCCTGGGGATGACTCCAGAGGGAGAGGGGTAAAGGGACACTTCTGTCCTTATATCTCACCTGAAAGGTCCCATTTAACCCGGATTACCTACCCTACCCACCTATCTCCTGTTACTTGCTCCATCCAGCTCTGTCTTTGGTTCACACACTTGTACCAGTCCTTTAGCCTTGCTGCCCCTTTAGCCATTACCCTGTTCTCTCAGTTTGAGTGGGCAGATGGATGTCTCCACCCATGAAGCAAAAGCACAAAGACCTTTAAGGGCTCCAAATCTCTATGAGGACTCCTGAGAAGGGAAGCTGGATCATTAGGATCTTTTTCTTTAGCACAGAGATGGTCCATACCAGGAATTTGCAAGGACAAGCTGTCAAGTTGCCAGCCCCAGGCCCGCTAGCTCAGCATCCCTTGGGAAGCAAAGGACCCTTGCCCCACTAATTCTGTTGGGTATTCAACCCAGTGGACCACTATGTGTGTTAAACCATCTTCAAATCAAGAGGGAAACAAGCAGTGATCTGGTTTCTTGCAGTTCTGGGAGTGTTAACAGATAACAGCAAATGCAGTAACATGTGTTTCGTTTCTGAGATGAGATTTCCTTTAGGAATCACACCTTTCTTAGCACTTGCTCACATATGAGCCCTTCTACACCCACCTAATGCTTCACTTCGAGCAGTCTCTGCTCTCGTCTCCATCACGTGGCAGCTCAGCCAAGTGAGTCACACAGCTAAAATCACACACCCCGGCAGTAGATAGTGCTTTCCTCTAAACCCTGGCCAGACACCTAAGGAGAAGGGCTGGGGGCTGCTACAGAGATGACTGGATCCTGACACGATGCTGCTTTGGGCCTGCATTGCCACTACTGCCCTCCTAAGTCCCCAGCCAGGCGAGTGCCTGTGAAGGAGCTGGGCACTCACACTCACCCTGGGCAGCCTGTCCCTGTGCTGCAGCTTCACGGGACAAGGCTGCAAGTGCCAAAGTATTCACATTTCAGATGCCCTTCTGAACTGCTTCTAGTTACGGAACGATTCCAGTCATAGAGAAAATGTGATTTATCATGGTCTACCTCATCAATATGACCAAAGTTATAATCAAAAGACTATCAGAATGCTAAAATCTAGAAGAAGTTTTTTACTGTATACAACAAACTACCATTTTGATTGAAGTGTTTTAGTGAATGCATGCAAAAGATCATAAAAGTGCGTTAATTTTATCTTGCAGAAAGGAAGTCCCACACCAGCTGCCACTGCTGGCTGGGGCACACAAGGACAGCACCAGGGAAGGGCTGGTAGAAGAAATGGAAATGAAGGCACCTTTCCCCACACTTGGCACACATGGACTCTTGATGAACCGTTAATAATTCCTGTGTGGTTACCAGATGTAACAGGCAGGGTATTGAATAACTCAGTGCGTTTCAGCAGCCACACTACTGTCTGTCTAGGTAATATTTTACTTCTGTTTTTAAGTTCTTGCTGTCTTTGCATAATGTTACACTATGGAATAAAATGCTCTCTTCAGCTCAGACCGTGTTCAGTGAAGGGGTTGTAAGAAGCTGTGCAAAGTAGGTTGACAGGAATCCTTTAATATTCAGTTCCCAGAGACTCCCAGTTCTGACATGTGCTGTGTGTCACTGACACAACTGGCCCACCAGAACATGCACTTCAGAGAGAAATGGCTTCTTGTGAAATGTGCTGGAGGCTTCGCACTGGGGCTAAGGTCCTCAGCTTCTGCCAGCGGCCGTGAAATATCTTCTCACTTTCCTGCCAATGTGGCCGGGCTGTGACCCGGGGAAACCTCTTCAGGAGATGTGCATTCAGATTATGACTTGGCAAGTCTTTACCGCATTGGGACTTCAGTTTCCAGGTCTGTTCTGGGCAAAACACAGCCGCTCGTGCGCAGAGGTGGCTGCCCTCCAGTGCTGTTGTGCAAAAATAGGCAGCGCAGCACAGCCAAGAGCCCTTCTCTTAGCAGCACTTTTCTCTTTCCCCTACTGGGATCAGTCCCCGATACACTGTGCAGAGCAGGAAAACTCTGGGGGCTCTCTCCTCTGCCCCCAGCGAATCTTCCTTAGTTCCAAGGAGAAGATTTTGGTGCTTTTCTTCTATGTCCCTTGGATTTTTTCTAGGTGAACCAAAATTCTCCAGAAAACCATGTTTGGCTTCTAGCAGTGGGGGTGGATCAGGAATCAAAAATGAGGTTCTGACATCAGTCTCCTGGCCAAATCTCATCCTTCACCTTCCCCAGCTGGGGCTGGGTGCAGGTGGGTGATATGCTCCAGCAGCAACGATTCCTGCTCCCTTGCTGAACTGGTGATTGGGAGATATTGGAAAGGGGGCCAGGAGGCTGAGCTCCTCGGGGCTGGGGTAACCACTCTGCAGCCTGGCAGGGAAGCAGTTGGGTTTATTTCTGGATTTCACCATGTGAGTAGGCAGTGAGTAGGTAGAGATTCATGGGGATCTGAGTTGGGCTTTAGGGCTCACCAGGAAAGCCAAGGCGGGGAGATCCCTGGGGAGCATGGGAAGAGCACAAGCTCTGTCCTTGGCAAGAAGGGGTCTGCTCCAACAGGACTGTGCTGGGGGGGAAAGGAGGTGTCACTCACCTGTGACACAGGGTGAACACCCTTCAGCAAATGAGGGTGCAAAGCCATCTGCCAGGATTAATAAATTTGATAGAGAATGTCCTCTTCCTAGCCCACATAACCTGGCCAGGCACCTCCCCTTGTGATTTTCCAGGCAACGAGGCACGGGGTCCGGCGGCTCTGGCGCAGCATTGCAGGGCTTCGCGGGATTACTTATTTACTGTGTTCCTGGAACCAATCCAAGCTGCCTGTCTCTGCCTCCCGTGCAGGCTCATCGGGAATGCAGCAGGCTCGCAGCCCCCAGAGGCAAGCAAAGGCGGTAGGAAGGTGGTTCATGCTGCAGATCACGCTGCCTCTGACAGACCTGCGGGGCTGTGTTTCTTAAACGACTGAATTGCAGCCCTCCCTTCTTCTGCTTCCCTTACCCCTAATCCGGGTAACTAAGGCAGCAGACTCGGTCCGGATGGATTTCATTGCCGGGGCCATTGGAGGTAAATAAATCAAGTAGTGCTTGTTGATGAAAGCAGATAGCTGTGTTTCCTTGTTATTAAGCTGATGGGCAGGTCCTAGTGGCAACGATAGAGCTGGGTGTCTTTTGGTGGGGGCTGCTTGTTAAAAATGTATTGTTTAATAAGCGGGAAATGTCAGCAGGTTCACAGAGCTACGGAGGAAATAGCCCTGCAGAGCGGTTGGCTGAGGTCATTACCCTGCAATCTCCTCCAGTCTAGTGATGGAGTGAAGCTCTGATAGGAAGAGACTGCGTGGAAAATGCTGCATGCAGATACAAACCGGCAAACATTGCCCGGGCAGCAGATCCTCTCCTGTCTGGTGCCTGGGGGTCCTGGCTGGGGGACAGTCACAGGTCTGGAGGGCTGAGGGAGCATCTCATGAAACTGGGAGGGGGGGCACAGCTCTGTGTCAGTAAAGCAGATCTGGAGGAGTGACATTTATGTAATTCTAGGCTGAGACGTATTTGCAGCTCTGATGGTAATTTCACTGCAGGCTGCTGCATAGCAGGCTTTGATCTAGTGAATGCTAGCTATATTTAAACAAAAAAAAAGTGTGTGGTTTAATTTGAGACATTTTGAGGGCACTGCTCAAAACCCAGTTTTGTTTTAAATGACAAAATGTAGCTGCTGGTCTCATTTCTTCTCTGAAATCTCCTTGTCAGATTTAGCACAGTCTCAAATAGCAAGACAAGAGACTTGGGGCCGCCACCGCCAGGGAGGCCAGGTAAACCTGCCAGATGGCTGAGACGCAGCCCAAGCCCTGCATGTCAAAGCTTACTAGGCTCCCGGAGCTGCTGAAATTTGGCAGATTTTTTCTAACCAGGAGTGACCTGTGGCCTTGTCACAAATGGCCATTCGCCAGGAGGGCAAATTTTACCCTTTGTGCCCGCTGCGCGTCCTGCAGACGCCGGCCAGGTTTGGCTGCTCAGGGATACCCGGAGGTGGCCATTGCTCGAGTATGTCTCGGGATGGATTCTTGATAAGAGAGGGGCCTACAACCCCTCCATGACATCTCTCCTTTCTGCTACTCCTACTTTGTTGACTGCTAGAACCCACAGCGGAGTTTTGAGCCCAGTGTTGTGGCTGTTTGCAGTAGCCAGTCCAGCTCTGAAGGACACTCTAAGCCTCATCTTCAATGTCCTGGTTAATGCTGTCGCTGACGTTGATGAGCTCGGCTCAGCTGGGTAGCAATGCTTGTGCTCTCTGGTGGGACTCCCCAAAGTGGGACAAAATTGCTTTTGTTGGCACTGCTATAACTGAACTACTTAACGATGAACTTTTTTTGCTAGGGAGCGTGAAGAGTCAAAAACATGGGTCAAGACAGTCCCTCAAGGCAGCAAACATCTCGGGAGGTGCCTATGGGCCTGGGAAGTGGGCAGGGGAGGAATCAGCCTGGGAGGGGGCAGGTGGGAAATCTTCCATCTGGAAAGAGAAATGTACTTCCTTATTTTAATGCACTTCATTATCATATTTTAAGAGGGCTGCTGCAATCTTTCAGTGGCAGACAGGGGTGTTTTCTGGCATGTTGTCCCCTCCTGGGAGCTTGCACATAGAGCTTGCACCTGCAAGGTTTTGAGCCCGGGTCCCAACCCTGATGCGGGACAGCTTTCCTATGAGAACAGGGATGTTTTTGGCACTGTGAGGTTGTTTCGCAGCTGTACTTGGTAGAGCTGAAGCAGATTTCATGTTCTCAAAGAAGCTGCAAACCCAGCTGAACTGCTTCAAGCAACCCAAGTGGCAAAAGAGATAACAACAGAGCCCATGTTTAGTAAACGATGTTCTCGTGACCTTGTTGTGTTTTCTGGATGTTTTGGAGAAAACACAGCTTGGGCACCTCAGAAAAACAGCAGAGGTGTAGCCCCTTTGAATCCCATGTAAAGATTCGGCCTGGCACAGGAGCAGACATGAATACTGTTGTGCTTCTCTCTGAGCTCCTGTGTCTGTGCACAGGGTATAAACTCAGCACCTTCAGCCTGCGAAAACAGTGACCTGCTGTGATTCCAGATGAAACCAACAGGAGGGAAACTTGTTTAGCAAGTAAATTTGGAGTTTTTCAGTAATGACAAAATGAGGCTGGAGGTGCAGGAAAACAGCTCATCTCTAAGGATGTCCTTGATGGCCAATACAGCTGACCCTGCTCTGAGCAGGAGGTTGCGCTAGAGGCCTCCTTAGGTCCCTCCCAACCTCCCTTTGAGTGTGTGTCCGTTTCGAGCCCTGCTATTGCAGCAACCCAGGCTACAGCAAGGCCTGAGCAGTGATGACTAAGGATGACTTGACTCTTGAGCCTAAGCCAGAGATCTGGGAAAGGGAAGCTGAGGTTTAGCCAATACTGCCCCAGTCTGTGGTATGTCCAGGCTTCTCTGCATCCTGCTGCAAGTTACACACCAGTCACACTTGACCCACAGAGAAATATGCTGTTTCCTTGTTGCTTCACTTGAAACAGCTACTGCTGACCACTGCCTGGGAAATGTTACTGTATGGAACTCAGATTGTTTGGGGCTTGGGGCAGTTTTAAGGTCCACAGCTCCTTGAAAAGTACAGGTCTTTGGAACTCGCTCTCCATCCATTGCATAGGCCATGATCTCTGCTTCTCCCTGTGTCTCCAGGCCAGGATTTTGCCTGCAGCGCAGAGCTGTGACATCTGGTGGCCTCCGTAGAGCTACTGACTGTCTATTGATTTGCCATTCTAGTGGTAGGGTCCCTCCTTATGTTAATTGCCATTAACTGCAATTAATTATAAATGGCCTGACTAGTGAAGAGATAATGAGTTATCAGGTTTTGTGCCTGCTCTGTGGGTGTGCATAGGGACTGCTGTAGCCTCTACACAGTATCTGAGGCTATCTCAGATAAAGCAAGCAGGAAAACTGGCTGGCTAAACCCCAGCACTTATCATTTTGCCAGTATTTTCTTCACATTGGTACAGTGTTACTGAATGGGAGCCCCATACGATCACATTCCCATAGGCATCCTATACATAGCTGGCCTTTGTTGCTTCTGCTGTGCAGTGCATGTACGGGTGAGGCTATCTTTGTCCCAGGCTATTTATATCACTTGACCTTGGACAGAGTCCTTCTTCCTTGCTCTTGACGAACTTGGCTTGGCTCCTCAGCCAAAAGTCTTGACTGCCTTGAGTGCTCTGGTTCTTTAGGAGCTCAATTCATGACAGACTGTGGTTGCTGGGAGGATCTGGGGGCTCACCTCTCTCCTTTAATGGGAACAGTGAAAAGTTTATCTTTATGGTCTTTTGCCAGGCAGGGATATTTTGTTCCCATGGAAACAAAGGTGAATAGGAGCCCTTTGGATGAAAAGTGACGGGGAACAAGATGGTTTGGGGCAACCTGCTTTTTTTTTGTCAGTGTTGCTGTTTCCCTTCATCTTAACATGTGAACAGAGCGATTGCTCCACGAGGGAAGCACTTTTTGTTCAGTTCTGACCCAGATCAGCCCTGGTACCTGAAATCCATGAGCCAGTGAAAAGTTGTGAGGCTCCGACCTCCCTGAGCATGGTGGAGCAAAGTGGGTGTCACCTGCATAACACACTGTGCCCTTGCATGGCCAGCGTGTGGGCCGCCCCGGCTGCTGCTTTTAGGATTGGGAAGTTTGGAGCTGATGTACTGCCAAATCCTGGGTGCCTGGGCCAGTGCACAGCACAGTCATGTTGGCACTGACTTATCTGCTGCTCTGCCCAGCTGGAGAGGTCGCTGGGTTGAGGCCGGGCAATCTGGGGCAGCGCGGGTGGCCAGAGGTCACTTGGTGCGTTGTCACCGTCCGCTCAGCTGGATGCCTTGCTCCTCCTGGCTGTTTTATTCTGCTGTTACTTCCTTCTGTCCTGAGCTTGCTTTATCCCTCCCTCCCTCTTTCTTCCTCTCTCTCTCTTTCAACCTTATCTCATTTTGGCTTTGAAACACAAAAGGCAGCTCCTTGGCCCATTCAATGTCTCAGCTGCTATTGATCTGTCCTGCTGGCAGATCCGATAGAGTTTTTGCAGAATGAACCTCATTTTTCCTTCTGCAATAGGCCTCTGCCCGTTGTTTTCTCATGAGTAAAGCCCTGCAGGCTTTGGCAGCTGGTGACTCACGCCAGCAGCTGCTGCTCTTCTCCAAAATCAGTAGAGCTGCTCTGAGTTCCCGAGGAGCAATGTAATCGCAGGTGAACCCGCCGCCTGAAATGATGGCAGTGACAGATACATTTCCAAGTAGCTTCCTTATTTCTTAAAAAAGGAAAAAAGGAAGGAATAAAAAACGTCAGTTTCTAATTCACAGGCCACCTGAAGCACAGTGTTTTTTATGACTTCCTAGCTCCCTGAAGAGCTCATATAAGCTGTTTTATGAACTTGATCTCTGTATAAACAACCCACATGGATCCAGCTGCATTGTTGCCCAGCTGCTTTCCTTGTGGGTCACTTGGCAGTTTATATCCGCAGAGGAACTTGCCTCACGGGCCCTGTTGCTGCCTGTGTGAGCAGACACGTGTAGATGGGGCTGAGGGGGGCAGCGGAGGTGAGGGCAGCCCTGCTGTGCTGAGCTATTCCCGACTCCTTCCCTATCTGCAGTTAAGGCAGTAACTTCGTCTCACGGGATCAGCATGTTTCCTGCCCCGGCAGCTATTTTAAGGCCTCAGAATGAGCCCGGGTGCTGGCGGAGGGTTGACAAATCCCCCGAGACTGCTGAAAATGCCGTTGCTGTCAGCAGAGGGGACTAGGGGTCAGCTGTGCGCGGGGCCGGGCTGCCTGTCGCTAATCCAGAGCTTGATCCTGCTGATCCCGAAGCGGGGGGCCGGGCTGGCGCGGGCTCTGCCCTGCCCAGGCCTGATTTGCCATCGCTCCCTGAGCTGGCTTTGCAGCATACGGAGATGCCCGACGCAGGCAGGGAAGGCTCTACAGGGGCTTGGACCAGCAAGGGGCTGTGACCCTCCCGCTCAGGGAAAATTTTACTCTTTCTGTGCCTTGCAAAGGGTGGCCAGGCCACATGCACCTGTGGCAGGCAGGAGGCCCTCTCCTGTCATCGGGGTGGAAGACAGCTTGGGGAAAACGTGTCACCTCTGAGAACCCCTGTCTTTGGAAAGGTCCCTGTACTTTTAGTGCTAAATCTCCCCGAGTCGAGCGTGCGGCGCCAGAATCGCTCAGCAGTACTCGCAGACCCTCCTGTGAGCAGAGGTGCTTTGCTGCTCCTCTGAGCGTGGCTTGGCCATGGTCCAGAGATGCTTCACTGCCTAAACCGAGAGGGGGACAGGAAGGGTCCAGATGGGCAGTGCATGTTATCCCGTCCACCTTCCCGACGAGCCCCTTCCCTAGGGGCTGCTCCGAGCCCCGGAGCTGGTGGCACCCATGGTCCCCTCCTGCAGTGGTGGCTTCTGCGCCTCTGTCACAGCGCTTGGATCCCTACTCCAAAGGTGCTTCAGAGAAATCTGCCCATTTCGCTCTGTCATCGTTGGCTTAAACGTCCCAGCTGGAGCTCGAGGGAGATTTGGGGAGCTAAGGAGCCTGGAGCTGTGTTTCTCTGTGGTCCCCCCTTGCACTGGCCCAGGAAAGTGCTGCTAATCATGTGCCTACGATGTCTGTTGCAGGTGGTCTAAGCACAGCAGTGGGGTATCCGCTGGATACAGTGAAGGTACCTGTTGGAACTTTATTTCTTGGCTGCGGACTGAAGGCAAACAGACCATTTTGCCTTTTTTCCCCCCCTTTAAGAAAATCAGTCTGGTAACTGAATGCTTTAATCTTTGTTCCATTCAATTCTCTTCATTTTACTCTCTTCATTTGGTTGTGTGATTTTTGCTCTTTTTAAAAAACTTAACTTATTCAGGAATGCTGTTTTATGATTAACTAACTGCTTTGATGGTAAAGCATTACTGGATTGAAAAATATGTTTTTACATCTGCTGTCCATGTTTCAAAGTTGCCCCTGTGTTCCTAGGTGAGGATTCAGACCGAAAGGCGTTACAGAGGAATCTGGCACTGCATTCAAGAAACCTACAGGACAGAAAAGGTAGGTGGTCACACGAGCTGCTTGTCCAAGCTACAGAGGCCTTCAGGCTTCTGCTCGGGGTAGCAGCGCGAGAGGCCTCCTGAGAAGCAGAGTCACAGAACTCCTTTGGGGAGGACAGACCACAGTTACATATAACCATTTTATAACCATTTTTCTGGGAGAAGGGTTAGCATCAAACTCAGCTTTGCCTCTATAAAAATAGAGATAAGTTTGGCTCAGCAATATCAGGGCAGTGTTTTAGAGTGGATACCTTTCCATGCTGTTCTCTCTTCTTAAAACTCTTTTTTTTTTCCTTTCTCTATCTCCAACCAGGTCTGGGGCTTTTACAAAGGCATATCTGCCTCCGTCTTCTCGGTGTCACTGATTTCCTCTGTTTCGTTTGGCACCTACAGAAACTTCCTCCGCAGCATCTGCAAATGGCGATATGGCACTGCTGATGCAAAGCCCTCCAAGCTGGATATTGTCCTTGCTGGAAGTGCTACGGGTGCTGTCCGGGTAGGTAAACAGCGGGAAGGACATTGGAGGGAGAGTGAGATCCCGGGGGTCACGCTCCGCCTGAGGGCTTGGTCTGCAGACAGGTCACATAAGGATGTTAGGTGGCAAGGCTGAACTCTGGTTGTTTCCTGCAGGCGCTGCAAAGGTTTAAAATCGTGTCCTCTCCCTTCGCAGGTTATGCTGATGACACCCAGCGAGGTAGCTAAAGTTCGAATGCAAACGCAGAAGCCACCACATCCGACTGCAGCATCTCCCCATCCTGCCTCCAAGCCCAAGTACCAAGGATCTCTGCACTGCCTGAGGGTGATAGCGAAGGAGGAAGGTTTCGGGGGTCTCTACAAAGGCTGCTCTGCATTACTCTGCAGGGACTGCTCCTCCTCTGCGATATATTTCCTTACCTATTCTGTTCTGTGCAACTGGCTTACACCAGAGGGGAAGAATAAACCAGGTAGGTACGAGAGAGTCTTGCACTATCTGCAGAAAATGGCTTACGTGGTTTCGTACTCAGAGGAAAGTATATTCTCAGCAAGCATTGCCCAGCACCTAGGAGGCCTTGCTCCAACTGTCCCTTGTGAGAAGCAGGTTTTATTATTTCCCTGGCATGTGGAAGGGGTTCCCCTGCCTCCAGCAGTGGGGAGGGTGATCACGGTAACAGCTTTCTCCCTCCTGGCACATTCCTTGCTGGAACAGTGCAGGCCAGGGGAGTGTTTACACATTTTGGGTTCATTCTTGCCTGTAGTTATAGTACTGAGAGCAGCATTTCCCAGCTGCGTCTGCCCTGAGCCAGTATGAAACCGTCTCTGTGTGGACATGGGGCATGCAGCTGGAAACAAAACACGGGCAAACAACCTGAGCTCCTCCGCAGGGTCAGTCTGCAGCCTCAACACAGAGTCCAGGTGCAGAACCGAGACTGAGGTCAGTCTCAGACAGAACTGAGGTTTTCCAGTGGGTGATTTGGCCCTAAAAAGCAACCATTTATTTCCACCTTTGAGAAAATACGAGAGAGGCAAACCGAGTTTTTCTTCTATTCAGCAAAGGGAGTCTTCCTGAGGAACATGAAAGCAATGTGGAGCGCTGCCAGGCTGTGGCGGCTCAGAGCAACAGGCTCCTCACTGCGCTCTGCCTGCGTGGGGTTCAAAGGGCCGCTGCCTCCGCACGAGGCAGCATCATGTGTGCAAACCGAGCGCGTGGTGAAATCAAGAGGCCACATGTTTTGCATGAGAGCACCGCGAATACACAAATTAGCTGCTGAAAAGAAACGCAGGTTAAAAAGGTAGCATTTGCTAAGCAGCTTGTGGAAAAAGCTCCTCCTCCTCTTCCCCTTTGCAAGGAGCAAAGTTTGCTGTTTGACTTAGGAGAACGCCTCTGTTCAGCATTTGCATGACTCGCTAAGTGTTTTCCAGCTCTTTTTCACTTTATTCTGCAGCGCAGGTCAAGCTGTGGTCACTGCTCAGGCACTGCACGCCGGGCGCTCATCTCTGGAGCCTGCTGTTTAGATTGCTCTGTGGTGAAAGGGGCAGGAGAGACAAGGGGCCTGGGAAGGCAAATTCCTTGACAGAGACCACACAGGCTGGCTGAATCCAAGGAGAGGATTGGAATTCCAGCAAAATTTGATTGAAAAGCATTTAAAAAATATTAGAGAGCCTACAGGAGTGCAGTCATGTTAATGAATGCAGTCATCCTAGCTTGGCACTGCTAACCATGCCAGACAGTAAAATTTCAGTTTAGTGCTTTCTGTTCTCTTTTCTGTTCCTAAAATTATTTGTGTAACTAGATCAGGAGAGACTTTAAATAGGCAGCTGCAGAAAATACATTGGACATTCTTGAAGCTTCAGCAACTCAAGGCTGAAGTCAACCCGCTTCCTCTTCGCTTGCAGGTTTCCTCGTTGTGCTGCTTTCTGGTGGCTTTGCTGGGGTCCTGGCCTGGGGATTAGCTACTCCTATGGATGTCCTCAAATCCCGGCTGCAGACGGACGAGTCGGGACCGCACAAGTACAAAGGCCTCATCCACTGTGCCCGGGAAAGCGTGAGGCAGGAGGGAGTCAAAGTGCTTTTCAAAGGACTGGGTTTAAACTGCATGCGGGCCTTTCCTGTCAACATGGTTGTATTTGTAACCTATGAGGCTGTGCTGAGGTTTACGAATCATCTCACAGATGAAAAATAGCTTATGTCACTCTGTTCAGAGGTGTATTTTTTAATTCATTTTTTTGGTAACAACATACACAAAAACTGCTGAACTCCGCTCTCGCTGATGGTCAGGGTAAGAGGTAGGGGCATCGCAGCACAAAACTGGTGACTGATCTTCTCACTGGACTCTTACAGGATCACAAACTCATGAGGAAGCCTTGTACTTTCAGTCAATTTTCCTTTTATCCTGTTAATGAACATAGACTCTAGCTACTATGGAAGCCATTGAAACTTTTGCAAATATTTATGTCCTAAAAAGCTGTCAGTCTGGCTAGAGATTTTTGACAACAGATTCACCTTTTCTACCAGGACAAAAACCGATCTTTACTACCAAGGCAAGAGTTGAGGGCAGTTTGTGTGTGTTAGATTTAACACTATACAATGCGTGCTGTTTATATGTAATACATTGTATGGCATTCAGTTAATACCATACCTATTTGTACTTCAAGCCACAACTGGCAGCCCTTTCATGCCTCTTTGTAATTTTGTCCAAGCATTCCACAGTTATATCCCTTTGGTAGCAGCTGGAATATGAATTGCATTGCTTTTTCCTGTGGTCTCTAAATGACTGGCAGACCTAGTCTGTTTACATAACCTCTCTAATGGCCTCATTGAAAATGAGAACAGGCTTCACTTCAAGTAAATCATGTGATTTACTCCAAGCACAAGCATTAGCTGTAAAGCTTCAGTCCCCTTCTGGTGGTGGAAGGTACCGTGTTCCTGCATGGTGATAAAGCTTTTTGTACAGGCTGTTCTCGTACTGGAAGGAGGGCAGAAAGAAGAGTGAAAGCCTTTGCCTCTCAAAGAAAAAACTGCCCTAAGCTCTGCACACTAGCTAAATTAAAGGAGAAGTGCAGAACTGCACAGCATAATCCAGTTTAATTACTTTTGAGAAGTGTTTCTTTTTCTGTCTTGAAGAGAAAATTTGGATGAAGAGAAAATTTGGAATATACTGGATCTCACACCAAAACTGTGTTGAAAATGTGCTTTTTTTAAGGAAAAGGGGAAAACTATGTTTTAAAGAAGTTGTCTTATGGTCCACATCTGCTTTTATTGGTTGATTGCATGGCCTTGACTACACTAACAATTTTGAAACAGGCAGAACTCAACAGCTATTCTGGAAATGGAAGAAACAATCCTGTACTAGAAAGACAGGCTTAAAAATTTCAATTGATATTAGCAAAAAATAAAGGAGGCTGTTTCCATTACAGAAAGACTAGCAAAAAGCTTCTCGTGCTAACAAACAGAGAGGGACTTGTAGGAGATGTGAAGGTTGGGGGTAGCCTCGGCTGCAGTGACCATGAGTTGGTGGAGTTCAGGATCCATCGAGGAGGAGGCAGGGCTGTAAGTAGCCTTGCGACGATGGACTTCAGGAGGGCCAACTTTAGCCTCTTCAGAGACCTCCTCGGTAGAATCCCATGGGCTAGAGCTCTAGAAGGAAGGGGGGCCCAAGAGAGCTGGTTAGTTTTCAAGCGGCACTTCCTCCATGCCCAGCAACAGAGCATCCCTGTGTGTAGGAAGGGAGGCAGAGGGGGCAGG